CTGCAAAACATTAAAGTAGCCTAAAGCAGCTTGATTAATTTTATGAGCGATCAGCCGTTAAGTTCAGCGCACATGAAATTTGCGATATTAATCTAGCATTAAGCATACGCCCCGTTAAACTTAACGCTCGTTTAACCCTACCCCCAAAAACAACGAGGAAAACCATTGCCCAATCCCAACAGAGTTACTCCCAAAAGGTAAATACTCATTAGTGAAATTTCTTATCAAAATTCTGTTTCGTTTTGGGCTTGAGGCTGATCGGCTGGCTGGTCGGCTGTCGCGCCTGATCTTGATGCAATTAATAAACGACGCGGCGTTGGCAGTGCATTTTATGGCTGTGGATATCCGGAAGCGAGTAATAAAAGGGTTCGAAATCGGGATCGAGCAGAGATCGCGATTATGATTTTGATGGTCTCCATACCCAATTCCTATCCCTATCCCCACACACAGGCCAGAGCCAGGCTAAGCCGAGGGACCACACCGAGAGCTGAGGGCAATTGCCAATTGCATTCATCAACATGACAGCTACTCGTCTGGCTCTGGGTCTGTGTCTTCTGTCGTCTGTCTTCTGCCTTCTGTCTGCTGTCCTCGCTTCCACCAATAGCTTCTCTGTGCTACTCGGTGCCTTCTGGGCCTTTTGTAAATTGACAGCCGCTGCTGCTCAATTTGAATGCAAACCACAAAATTGGATAATTTCCCAGTGACAATCGAGAGGGTTGTCCTCTGCTCTGGTCGGGTCTGGTTTGGTCTGGTCTTCCCTCCCTGATATATGCGAAGAGCTAAAAGTTTCCCAGGAGCAGGCACTTGCCGGTGACCCCACAGAGAGTGCAGAGATCCCTCCTGGACCGAAAAAAGACAATGGCTTTTGGGGCGAATATGCAAAATAAATTTCACTTCCGAATCCGAATGCGACTGATGCTGCTCTCTGCTCTCTGCTGGTTGTTTCATGGCTTGTTTTACATATGTCCGCACCTAAGCAGAAGACACAATACCACGACGACGACGATGAGGATGGAGATGGGTCTGGTCACCCACCATCATCAGGCCTGCAGGCAGCCCTGGGGGACACTCGACAATGGGCCAAATGGCCGACTCGAAAAGGCAAAATGCAGGGCAGGCAACTCGTAAATCCGCATTCGATTGCTTCGCTTGAAATCCATTCGGAATTGATTGCAGGATCAGCAAGGGGTGCGGTCCGGTCGGTCGGTCGGTCGGTCGGTCGTTGGTTGTGGGTGCCTGCTCAAAATGTTGCAATTAATTTTTGCACAATGCTCTTTGTGCTATTTAGTTATGGCAGACTTCTTCGACTCACTTAATTGCCCCCGAAAAAAAAAGAACAAAACAGAATGGAGCAGAGCAGAATCCAAAACGGTAGCTCCGAATCGGGGGGATTGGAGACTCCTTTTCAGGGTAACTTCTGGGTTTCTGCTTCTGGGTTTTTGGGGTATCTGCTTTGTGGCCTTTGATTTGCATATATTTTGGTTTTAATTAGTTAACAAGCTGCTTTCGTTTGTTGCGATTGCATGTTGAACCACGACGCGTATCGTAGATGCTGCTGCTGCTGCTGCTGCTGCAGGTATCTCCTGGCCCATGCCCCATGCCACACCACACTACTTCTCCGCGCTGGTTTCGCGGTTGCATGCATAAGGAGGGGACAGCAGCAGCAGCAGCAACAGCAAACGTATAAAATCAAACACGATTTTTAGCAGTTTTCAATTCCCGGAAATCTTGTACGATATGTAGCACCATACAACTGTGGATTGTGCTGATTGTTGTTGCTGCTGTTGCCTGGATGCTGCACGGGCACAGGCTCAGGCCCGCGCTCGATACGATTCCGATTCCGATTCCCCCCAGTATCGTGCAAATGTTTCATTATTTAACTGATTTCAGTTAGCCAAAGACGACAACAGCTGGGCCTCAAGTCCCAAGAAGGAGTCTGCGGACAGGCAACAACCAGACAACTTCAGTTGCTGGAATACCAGCGAAAATTCCAAGATGTTGTCATCAATTAAGCTGTGCCCCGACCTCAGCCACAGCCGCAGACTCAACTGCGGCGGAGCTGTTCACACCTGAGAGAACTTTATTAGTCCAGTGCAGGGCCAAAAAAAGGTGGCAAAGATGCGTAAATTATGGTCTAGGCAGCGACACAGCACCGAGCACTGAAAGCAAATGGCGCTGGCCAATAAAATGCCAGATAAATCAAGCCAAACACAAAGACCAAGACCAGGACCAGGATCAAGACAGACTGCACGCGAAGGTGAAGGTGGAAATCAGCAGTTGGAGCTGAGCAAATTCAGCAGAAATGAGCGGAGACAGAACTTATTTGCATTCGCCTTGTTGTCAGCCAAGTTGTCGTCGTCTCGAGCTTCGTCGCTGTCGCTGCCTCTGACTCCGTCTTCGTCTGTGTTGCTGTTCCTGTCTTCGTCTCCATGGCATCCTGCTACTGACAGTGCTGGCAGAGAAACGATGGAGAGAGAGAGAGACCGGGGGGTAACAGCCAAGCATGAAAACTGTTGCCCACGAGTCTGGCGAGTACGCGGCAGAGCATTTGGCCAGAAAGCCTTTTGTTTCATCTTGTTAAGGTTTGAACTTTATGCCTGCTCCAGAGCTACTATCCCCAGTTATTGTTTCTGGTTGGGGTCTTTCTCTGCTCGTTTCTCCTTGTTTTTGTTTTATTTGCTTGTTGTTTTTGCTACATTTCCAGGAACTTTTCAGGTGGCACAGCATGTTTGGGGGCCAGACACACTTTTGGTGGCCTCGTGCAGTCCCCATTGTGGGGGCTTTCAATTAAAATATATTTAAGCATAATTTGGTTAGAGCGGAAAGAGCGATAAAGGGGTTGGGGAAATGTACAAAAATAGAGATGAAAGTATAGATCTTGTAAAAGGATCTATAGAGTTTCCCAACCTATTAGCTCTCGTGTCCTACGTTTTCCCTTTTTGCAGTTCAATCAATAAATTATAAGTTATCTCTTCATATATTTATGGTCAACACCCCGCCTAGTTTTTATTTATTGTTCGCTCATTCTTTTCACCATTTTTTTTTGTTGTCTCTGATTTTTTGTAGCATTTTGTGACGGCTTTTCATCAAAGCAGTCACGATGATGGCAGCTGTGGCGCATACAAATGAATGGTTTTGGCTTAATGTGGCTTGCGAAAAATACAACCATATGAACACAAGAAACAAAAAGTATAAAAATTTAAATGTTGTTTGGGCATGTTTTATATGTCATTATATAATCAGCACAAGTCGCACAAATCGCTGAAAATTAAGCAGAAAGAACTAAGCCCCTGCGGCGCCGCACCAGCCACAAGAATATTATATTTACAGACATACACTGCGTAACATTACTGTAAAACAAACTTGAAATAAGAGTGAAAATAAATTTGATATTATCGATCGATTGCGGGAAATCAAAGAACGTTTTTGGAAGGATTTCTTTACATTGCCAAACAGGTGGGAGAAAACACCAAACTGTTGACCTTTTTAAGAAATTTTCTTTCATTTGCTTAGACTCTAAGCCTTAGTTAGAGCTACTTAGAACACACTGTAATAGATTCATATAAAACTCAAAAATCTTGTATGTCTCTTTATACACCAAAACTTAAGGTTTAAAGGGGTATACTGCCTTCGTTAATTTATTGAAAAGAAACTCCTTCGACGTTGCCTGCTCTTAATTTCTTTCCAATCTCCCCCAAACAACCATCATAATTTGATAAAGTTAAACTGAACTTTCTGCATAAGCAACAATAAACCGTTTAGCGGGTATCTCACAGTCGTATTAGCGACTTTAGCATTTATACTTGTATTTAATTTAGTTTTTTACGAGCACGTCGTTAGTTTTGGTTTCTTTTTTGGGGGATTCGCTTCGAGTTATAGCCGAGCCGAATGTTTGGCTTGTGGCAAATGGCCGCGCACAGAGATGCTTATCTTATCGGGGGGCAATGTTAATTTCCAGCATTTAAAAGTGTAATTAACGCAATTTGAAATATGAAGTGACACCACAAACAAAAGACTCAGGCAACAAACTTTCCTCAGAGGCAACCAGTGACTGGGAGGGATGGCCAAAAGGAAGCAGGAAGCCCGGGACGAGGCATGAGAATATTTGATTATGACTCAGAGACGACTCGGCTCGGCTCGTGCTTGACACGTATTCCAGGAACGTTTTGCCTCCTGCCACTCTCCATGTCCCTCTGCCACACGCACACACTCACACGCACACACAGACTGGTGCTAGTCTCCGGTAGCTAGTGCCTTGATTCTGCACACAGAATTTCTAATTAGCTAAGGGCTCGCACTCCTCCTTGTTATGCTGCTGCTCTGTGCTCTGTTCTCCTTACCAATATTTATGCGTTCATAGGGCTGGGCGCATCTATCAATTGCTCCGTTTGGGTGGCCAACCAACCACTTGTCTCTTGTTCTCTATAAATTATATTCGAACCGGTGTTTGGAATATTCGATTTGATTTCACTGGTTTTGTGTAATTTATGAGATTTTTCATGGGTTTTCTAATGTTTTTATAATTTGTCTTTATTGGTTTTTTTCTGTTTTGTTTGTTTTTCTTGTTGTTGTTGTTATGTATGCCTTGCTCGCTTCCAGTTTGGTTTTTTTTCGTTTGTTTCATTATTCAATTTGGTTATTGTACGAGTAGCTTATAATTTGCATAACTGTTTCATATAAATTATCGTAATTAGCTAGGTGAATGTTAATGAGTATACAAAAGAAGCGTGACAAGGCTTAAGGACTTTCGATTTGGTTTCAGTGTTGGATTTGGATTTGGGTTTGACTGCTGCTACTAGTAAAACTCAACAATTTATTTCTTTTTTTCCATTTTGCATATCTTACAATGAACTTTCTTTTCAGATGGTGGCTACAGCATTCGAATTTCTTTAGCTATGACTTTTCATACTTTAGTTGATTTCACGTACATTTAGGTTTATATTTAGTTTAAAACGCTTTAATAATAATTTTAGTTTATCCTCTGTTATTTACTTCTTTTCTGTTTCAGTTGTAGTTTTCCTTTTGTTTTTGTTTTTTTCGCTAAGCAAAAATTCAGTTCATAAATAATAAGCGAAATGTAAAGTTATATTTTTTATATAAAAATTATAAAAAATAATAATAATATTTATATAATCACACCAATAAACGCTAAACATAAGTCTAACTAAAAGTGGACACAGACAACGAAATCGGTAGAGACGCCAGCGATAGGCACATGGCGATTGAGGGATTGAAGAGAGTTGCGCTCGATCAAGCCAGCATGAAGTACATAGTTTATGCGTGTGTGTGTTTCTAGTGTGTTTGCTTGTGGATTAACTAACAGTACTAACGATTTACACAGAGTTCGTTTACACATCATTCGATTTTCGAGACAAACAAGCACCGAGACAGACTCTGTCGCGACTGTACACCCTAGAATTCCTACAGGAAAAACACAGTGTAAGAAGGACAATTACAAGGACATGTATATGTGTATGCAGACATTCGTACAAAAAAAGTTAGATCATCAAGGCATAGCTTAGTACTGTGTGTAAGTTTAGCTTTCTTCTTCGATTCACTACTCCAAATCATTTCTCATTCTCTTCATCACGCTGCAAATCATTACTATATAGATTTGTGTATATATATATAGTTGTTCCGTGTGAGATACAGGGCCTATGTTTATGTGTGTGTGTGTGTTTGTGTTTTGTGTGGGTAGTGGGTGTTTGTTTGTGTTTGTGTTTGTGTGGGTTGTTAGTTTAGGTATCTAACGACTTTGGCTTTTCGAATGTTGAATTAACCACTGCAGCGTTATGTCAATGTTGTCCTTTTCCTTACACGAAATACTATAACAGCATATTTCACGGTCCTGTATGCTCGATAGATTCCTACAATGAAATTTCATACATGAATTTAGGATCCTATCCTATATGTGCCTTCACTTACATTCGCTCAATGAGGCCAGTCTCGTCGAGCGCTCCTGGAAGATCACGTTTGTTGCCCAACACGAGCACTGGAATGCCGGCCAGCTGCGGCTTGTCCAACAGCGAGTGCAGCTCGTTCCTCGAGGCCTCCAGCTTATCCAGATCAGCCGCATCCACCATATAGCTGTCAATTACGTAACATTTAGTTAATTTGTGTCCATTATCCAATTAGAAGGTTGATTAGCTTACACAATTGCATTGACACCGCGACAATACCGCTCCCACATGGAACGGAAACGGGGCTGGCCGCCAATATCCCAGACCTTGATGGTAACATTGCCTCGGGTTATTTTTCGCATGTTGAAGCCCACTGTGGGTATCATATCCTCAGCAAATTGGCCGGACTGCAAGGGAAGAAATAAGTTAATTAATAGGAATAACTTATACATGGAGTTGTAATCAAATTTCTACCATTTAAATATATATTTTACTAGAATGCCTTAAAGCGTGCTATGGTTTTCCATAAGTGGCGGCCGCGACAGCTACTGGAACAGATCTTAAATGTTCATAAATTTGCTCATGATAAGCAGTGGAAAACTCCCAGCACATACCAGACCTAAGCTTATTGCATGCGGGTACATTTACATGACTCATAGCTCCTCCTCCTCCCCGAGAGAGCAGCTGACTCTCAACGGGGCTTTCAATGCATTTTGCAGCTGATATTTGAATCTGGATCGCGACTTATCAGCACGCAAATGGAGAGTGAGAGAGGAGATTGTGCAGTAAGTAGGTGGCAGAGTGGGCTGCCGATACAATGGGCAGGGGTCAGCTGGTTTCTGGACGCTGATAATGCGTCATTGTTTCGAACATGCGTATAACGTTTATTGATTACGAGCGAACATAAAAAGTAGCGCTAAAATAAAACAGTTAGCACAGCGTTAATAATTAATGCAATGGTGAACAAACGAAGAAACTGGCCGATAAGGTGGCCAGCGAAGAAACAAAGGCAATCAATAACCAAATAGCGAGACCTGGGGCCCAAGTTCATGGTGATTGCTCACTCGTCCGGGAGCGTTTGCTCTTTCTCTCTCTGTCTTTCTCTCTCGCTCTCTGTGCGATTCTTTTGTCAGTCGCGGGGTTAATTTCATTTGTATTATTTGATGGAATTGTCATAGTCCCCGGCTTTCTCTGCCCCTTGGCGGCTCATCCTACGACACAACGGCAGCACTCAAGCTACCCCCTCACACACACATTTGCGAAAATGACACACACTGAAACACACCCATATGCAAAATACTCACTGCAATAACATTGACGAACGTTGTCTTCCCCGAGAACTGCAGTCCCACCAGCGTCAGTTCCATCTCCTCTTTCCAGAAGATGCTCTTGAACCAGTCGAGGATTCTGTTTATAAGTGCCAACATATTCGCACTGTTTTATTAGGCTTATTATTCGAATTCTTTTGGCAAAAAAAGGTTTCCAAAACGTAAATGGCGTTGGCGTGCAGTGTGACCGCGGAACTATCGATAGAATATACCGACTGACCCTCGAAAAAATATACCGAAATATACCGTTGCATTTTCAAAACATACTTTAAATATAACGTAGATCTTAAATCGTTTTCTTCGATTTTGATGTTCTAATTCATATTAATAGGTTTAAATCCTGCTTGATCTGCATCAGCTGGTCCGGACTAAGCTTGTTGAGATCGATCATCTCAGGCTTAGCAGTTACGCTTGAGGTACCAGCCCTTTTGATTGATAATTTATTTTTTTTTTTTTTTTTTTGAGGTTTTAAGTTACCGCTTTACCCTTAGGTAGAGGGGAATTATTTGGCCACCCGCCTTTACAAGGGGGAAATCGCCACGTCGTAATATGTAACTTGTTACAGCTTTGCTCCAATACTTACCTGGCGTAGAGGTTGATAATTTATTTATTTTTTATAATTTACAAATTCTCAATTCAGCAGTGGTCTTATCGATAACAGACCCTCGGAAGTATACCGAAATATACTTCATTTTCAAAATATAGTATAAATCTTAAATCATTTTCCTCTATTTTAATGTTCTGTTTGATATTACTAGCTAGTTAAGAGTATGCTCGCCAAAACTATAATTTTTTCCAGTTGATCAATCAATTCTCCACAAGATTCGTTAGTTTTCACGACTTCGTTTTGTTGGAATGTTCACAAATTAAGTTTAAAACTTAAAAGGTCAACCAACAAAAATAGCATAATACGTTACGTGAGTGGAGCAATTTTTTGCTTGTCAACCAGTAGGTATAGTATAGTATGGACATTTGCATATCCTATTTCCATAAATTAATATTAAAAAATAATTTTCAAAGCGGCTCTCAAACATTAATAATGACTTTATCTCAGCCTGACATGTTTTTAACCTTTTTATATGCTCTCTTTGTATATACATATGTATACATCTATATCTATAAATATAATCTGCAAAATTTTATATAAATCCGAGATTTCCAACATTACCTCAATTCCAGGATATCCATCCCACTAGGGGTACTAAATGTTGCTTATTCCGCTCCAAATGTTGGGGAACAATGCTGCAGCATGTTGCTGGCCCATACATATTATGTTGCCAACCGTTAAAAGACCACTGTTAGCGTCAGTGTGATCGCGAATTTATCTATAAAATATACCGCCTATTTTGCCTATCGATTTGTTCTTTTAACGTTTTACAACACATACAAAAATACGGAAACATACCGACAAGTCAATTCTCAATTTCTCAATTGTTTTTTACTTACTTTTCCATTTCGTGGTGCTTCAAGCAAATATACATTTAATAGACATGTACCGTTGAACAAACAATTTCTCATAGAGGAAATTAATTAAAATATAGAATTAATATTGTAGCACTAAAACTATCGAATGTAACGTCGACTTACAGCTGATCCGTTGTGAATGGCAAAAGCGGAAAAACAAGAAAGTAAACAAAATGGTAAGTCGGCGATTTATTTAATGAAATTCTAATAAAATGTGTATAAACTGTGTACTTTTAGGCGAGAAATGCGGAGAAAGCAATGTAAGTATGATCATTAAAGTGAGTTAAATCGATTTTCAACGTTTCTTGGCGCTACTCCGGCAGGACCACATTGGCACGTTGGCGGGCCGCCAAGGAAGTGGAATCCGGCGAAAAGGAACGCCGCCCGTACCTGGCCTCAGAATGTGGCGATCTACCCAGATGCGAGAAGTTCCGCTTGGAGATTATACGTGAAATATCCAAGAAAGTGGCACAAATACAGAATGGTATTTAATTAGATTTTCATCAGATAAAATCGAGGCCATTTATAACATTATCTTTTCTTCCCCTTTTCAGCCGGTCTGGGCGAATTCCGCATACGTGATCTGAACGATGAGATAAACAAGCTGCTGCGCGAGAAGCGTCATTGGGAGAATCAGATTTCATCGCTCGGCGGCCCACACTACCGGCGCTATGGACCGAAAATGTTTGATGCGGAGGGTCGCGAGGTGCCAGGCAATCGTGGCTACAAATACTTTGGTGCCGCCAAGGATTTACCCGGCGTGCGAGAACTCTTCGAGCAGGATCCACCGCCACCTCCTCGCAAATCCCGCGCTGAACTAATGAAGGACGTGGATGCCGAGTACTATGGCTATCGCGATGATGAAGATGGAGTTCTCATTCCGCTGGAGGAGCGAATCGAGCGCGCAGCCCTGCAGAAGGCAGTGCAGGAGTGGCGCGAGAAAATGGCTCGCGATGGACGCATAGTCGACGACGAGGAGGAGGAAGAAGAGATCTATCCACTTTCTGGTCCTGCTCGCGAGGCTGCCGAGGATGCCAAGGCCAGGGCAGCCGTGGAAGATCCACATGGCCTGCTGGCGCCGAAGTTCACCGCCCATGTGCCCGTGCCGACGCAGCAGGATGTGCAGGAGGCGCTACTACGCAAGCGCAAACAGGAACTGCTCGAGAAATATGCCGGCGGTGCCAATTAGGTTTCAAATAAACTGACAAATTTTCTAATTTTTAGTGAAACTTTAATATCGAAGGGTAACAAAGATACCGCTGGGCATAAGGAATTTGGCCTTAAGTACATTCAAACTTAATTTCAAGGCATTTCTCAAAGTGCTGTAGTCGCTTAAAGCTAGATTTTTGCTTAGCTGGGAGAGCATATTCATCGGTTGATTGAATTGTCTGCTCCGAAATTTGAATAGTTGATTTGGCTGAAACACCAAATTTTAAAACGTATTTGAACCGATCATCACTTTGATCGTTGTCATTTTCTTGACAAAGGAGCTTCTTCCAGCAGCTCAGTGGCGTGCTTTACAGAATGTGTTGCTTAAAACTAGAAATTTTGTGCTTATTTTGGTTAATTCAAAACTCAAAACGATCGAAGCGACCGCCGCCGCCGCGTCCTCCACCGCCACTGCGACCACCACCCCCACCATAGCCGCCTCGTCCACCTCCGGCGCCACCTTCTGCAGCACGTCGCTCCTTCATGGCTTTGAAACGCCGGGCCATGTTGTGAAGCTGCGCTGGCACTTCCTGGTCAGCCTCCTGCAAAATGTTAATAAGCTCTTGGGCCATGCCCCAATCCGAACGTGTGATGAAGCTAATGGAGGTGCCGGTACGCCCAGCGCGTCCCGTACGTCCCACACGATGAACATACTCCTCGATGTTGCGTGGGAAATCATAGTTGATCACATGACTGCAAAGATGCAAACGAAGTAGTAAAAGCAGATTCCAAACTGTTTCATTTCTTACCTAATATCCTCGATATCCAGGCCACGAGATGCCACATCGGTGGCTATGAGAATACGCACCACGCCCGACTTAATGTCGGCAATGGCCTGTTCGCGGTCACTCTGATCGCGACTGCCATGTATGCACTGGGTCATGAATCCGTCCAGGGTCAAGTCACTGGACAGATCGTCGGCGCGTGCCTTGCGGCCGCAAAAAACGATTATCTTGTCGGTGTTTGTCATATTCTTGACAAAGGTCTTGATGATGCTGTACTTCTCGGACTCATCCTCCAGCAGCTCAATGACCTGCTTCACCGAGTGTGTGGCTGCCAGATCGAGGGAACCAACGGACACCTGAATGGGATTGTTCATGTAGCTTTGAGCGAGACGGCGCACGCCAGGCGGCCAGGTGGCCGATGTCATAATGGTCTGGCGATCGGGACGAATGTCCATCAAGACCTTGCGAATCTGTGGCTCGAAACCCATGTCCAGCATACGATCCGCTTCGTCCAATACCAGATAAGTGATGCTGCTCACGTCTATGACGTTTGCCTGAACCAAATCGTTGAGACGCCCGGGAGTACAGATGATAATCTCCGCTCCGCGCTCCACATCTGAGATCTGATTTCGACGACTTCCGCCTCCATAAATGCAAACCCTGAAAGAATAAGTCAAAAACGGTCACAAAATCTCACTCAAAATTCCTGCAAACTTACGCCCTCATGTCGCGGAAGGAATACTTCTTCACCTCCATTTCAATCTGGAGCGCCAACTCGCGAGTGGGCGCCAGCACGAGGACATTGGCGCCGCCACGCTGACCCCTGGGAATGCTTTGATATTCGGTGTGTATCATGCCGGGCAGCAGGAAGGCCAGCGTCTTGCCTGTGCCCGTCTGGGCAATGCCAATCATATCATGACCCTTCAGCAAAATGGGCCACGCCTGCGACTGAATGGGCGAGGGCTTGGGGAAGCCCTGCTTCTCGATTTCGCCCAACAAATCGGGATATTCGGCAAAGCATTGCTCGAATTTCCATACTGGATTCGGTATGGGTGGCACAGCTTCGCCCTCCTTCGGCTCAAACACAAGGGAAACTGTCGTATTGTTGTTCTCCGCTCGTATGCGTTGCACTTCCTCATCGCTTAGCTTCGCCACCTCGGGAGCCTCCCTGTAAAAGTTCTTTGTCAATTGAGGCAGTTTGGCCCAACGCGCTGCTGCAGCTTGTTCCTGTAGGTATTTGATGTCTTTTAATTGGGTTTAGATATGATTTATGGGTGTGTGACTTACAGAGGCTTTGTTCAGGCCTGCCCAATCAATGGAGCCAGTCAAGTCGCCATCTTGATTAGAGGCATCGTCATGGCTGCTAGCTTCGCTGCGATACCGACCATAGCCGGATCCACTTCCACCACCTGCGCCATAGCTGGAGCTACCTCCTGCGCCATAACTGGAACTACCTCCTGCACCATAACTGGAACTACCTCGGGCTCCATAACTGGAACCACCTCCTGCGCCATAGCTAGATCCTCCTCCTCCTCCATGGCTGGCTCCACCGCCTCCTCCATAGCTGGATGCAACTCCATCGCCTCGACCATGGGAGCCTCTGTCGCGATTGCCAGAATCGCTTGATATCTGATTTCGAATGTAATTTGCGGCATCGCTGACGTTCCGCTGGATATTGCCCAAGATCTTTACAGTTAAATCGCTTTTATCCACGTTGACCCGCACATTGAAATCTGTTTGGATGCGCGTTACATTGGAGCCCGCGCGACCAATGATGCGACCAATCATGTCTGCGCCAATGTTGATCACTTCCGAGAGGGCGTACTCTGCGCTTTTTACAAACCCACCGCCACCATTATCACCGCGATCGCGGCGTCCCTGACCATAATCGTCATGGTTGTCCCTATTTCGTTCGCCGTAGCCGCCGCGCTGACCACGCGAGTTTTCGTCGCGTCTCACATTGCGCTCGTACTTGAAACCTCTATTATCACGGTTAGGCATATTATAAATAGGAGCCTGATCTGGCTCGTCCCAGTCTAGATCTGACATTTCTGAAACTGCTCTTCGTTTTATTTTGAGAGAAAAACCAGCGCCTAGCCAACACGTGAAATATGAGAAAATTTGCTGAACTTTTCTGCTGATGCAGCGTTAAACGGTAAACTTGTATGTGTATGCGAGGAAAATGGCGACAAAGCGGCGGAGGCGGTGGCTATCGATCTGGCTATCGAAGGCTGTGTTCCAGTTAGTTTATATCTAACCACTTAAAAACGAAAATCAAACATTCCGCCGTGCTTGATCTTGTCAGATGTAGGGATGATATCAATATATCGATATATGTTTTTGTTGACAACATATTTTTTTGGGATATCTGGTTTCACTTCGTTATATCACATATACCGATAGCTAATTCTACTAATCGACTCACAGGCTTAGTTTTTAAATTTATCAATACTTCTGTGCGATAGGCGGAGCTTGGCTTTTTATTTTAAAAGTAGCACAACTTTGCTTTAAAACACCATTCTAAAGATATAAGTAGAGACTTTACAATTTGCACATTATCGGCGTGCATGCCACTTTCGCCCTCCTCCAATATACACCCTGTATCTGATCTTCGTCCCATCGTGTTCCGCTCAAGTTCTCCGTAAACATACAAAGACCAACACTGGCATGACATTTTGGCGGTTCGGCTTGAATTCAAAAAAAGGAAAAGCAGCACTGTTTGGTTGTGTTTATAATTTCCGTTTACTTAACACACGGTTACCACACTTTTCGGGTGTGCCTTAGCCTATTAGACTTACGACCTAATACAAATCAATCAAACTGCATTCATCTCACGCTCGTGGTTTATATAAATAACTAAAACTAAAAAACACAAACACAAAACTTTCCTCACTTTAAGAATTCATTAAATATGTATGTGTGGGTGTAGGTGTGTGTTGTGGCTATAGCTGTTTGATAAAACTTCTAACAGTTTTGATACGATTTTTCTCGCTTGTGAATATGGCCAGCCAAGTGGGGGTATTTTTGGTTGTTTGGGAAGATTACGCGCTTTGGGGTCTGTGTGGCAAGGTAGCAGAAATATGGGTTCCAATTCTCATTGTTCTACGTGAATTTGTAATATATGTAGTTTATATATTGTATGTGTGTGTGTGTGTGTATAGATAGAGTTAAGATTCGCTTAAAGTCTACGTGGAGCTTTTTATGATATAAATTAAGCTAAGTTAACATATACGAGGTTTTCATTTTCTCTTGAACAACTGATGATAGTTTCTGCACAAGAGCAGCAGCAGCAGATCCCCCTGCCCATCAATTCCAGTTGGTTCTTTTGGATTTTATAGTTTGTTTGTTGTTGGGTTGGGGTTGGGGTTGGGTTTGTGGTGTTTTGAAAAAACATTTACAAAAGCTCTTAACAGTATCAATCGACGTCAGATGAGGTCTTCGATCGGACAATCCAATTGGTATTCCGTCTGGTCCAGGAGCAGACATCCCTTAGGTACGGTGTATGTACAATTCAAATTCAAAAATTTACACGTTCCAGTCTCCAGGTGACGTGACGCAGTTCTGCTGTCCGATCCACGTCCGTACTGATGTTGGTATATAGAAATAGCCGATTTGCATCACCCGAATGTATACATATAAATTTCAGTTTATTCACAGCTGCTTGGTGGCGATCCGGCTTCGGGTCTCAGTCCCTTGACGCCGGCACCGCCAGATTATTTTTGTTCTTGGGAGCATCCTGCATAAGTAGCTGCTGCTGTGGCAGCGCCTCACAGCTGGGAGTTGCTGGGGCTGGGGGATGCCGTGTGGCAAAGTTAACGGATACGCAGGATATGGATTTTGGTATAGCAGCCGGCGCGGGCGCATAGCTGGACTCAAGATTGAGCCGCAGCTTGGCGGGGGAGTTGCGCTTGAAGAGGGCCAGCTGCCGCGTCGGTGATGCGGCGGATGACGACGATGCGGAGCAGGCGGAGGCTGTGGACAGCAGGGAGCAAATACCGCTGCTAGTGGAGGAGCAGGGTGAGTCCAGTTCGGAGACGGTGGCCGCGGCCGAGGTGCTCGGCGCCTCATCGTCCGGCGTAATGGGCGGTGAGGTGAGCCGCGAGGAGCAGTTGCTGCCCGCAAAGCTACCGGAACCACTGTCCACGTCGTCATAGTCGTAGACATCCTCGTCCATGGCCTCGCTGTCGGACTTGGACTTGCGCTGCCGATGCAGCCCTTCTTCCTCTTCCCGCTCCTGCTCGGGCTGCTCCACCAGTTGACTAGAATGGGATACCGGAGATCCCGCCGTGGATCCGGCTGATGTGGGGGCGCTGTGCGGCGACGCGGGTGCCAATATGCCGCTCTTGCGCAGGCTCTGCTCCAGCTCCAGCAGCTGCCCCATGAAGTTTAGGTTGGGGGAGATGATGGGTCGTGCCACTTTCACCAGCTTGTAGGCCTCCAGCAGCGAGAGCGCCTTGTGCCGCATGACGTAGGCAATGGCGATGGTGGCGCTGCGCGAGATGCCCGCATGGCAGTGCAACAGGACGCGGGAACCCGTTTTGCGTGCCTCTTCTGCAATGGAACAAAGAGAGAGAGAGAGGGGGGGTTCGGTTAGTAATTGATAAAGCGCTGATGATTTGCATAAAACAATCTGGAATCAATGGAAATGATTGCTCGGCTCTCCTCCTCCCCCAGCCAACCCCTTCCCTATTCTATCGAAAGCGCACACACACATACAAAGAGAGACAGAGAGAAACTTTTTGTGCCGTGGCTGGCTGTCAAAGCATTGATGAGTTGCTGCTCTCGCTCTCCCGCTCGCTGTTGATATTGGTGGCTGGCTGGCTGTCGATAATGCCTGCACTTGTAGTGGTGTGCACACACAAAAACTGCTTGCTTTGGCTCGCTCGTTCCCTCTCCCACTCTCTAGCTGCTGCTGCTGTGTGAATTTTGTTGGATGAGTCATCGCAACCGTCGCGAACAGCGCTGCTGCTGCTGCCGAGGCTTATTGACAGAACATTTTTATACCCCGCACACACGCGCAAACACACACACATACACATGCACGTGGGCACATTAACTCATAATTTACGTTGTTATTTTTGGGAAAGATAAGCAGAAGCAGAGTAAGAGGAAGACGCAACCCCAGCGGCAGCGGCAGAGGAAGAAGAAAAGAAGAATCCATGGAGCAGCATGCGGCATACGGCGTACTTTTTTTTCGAAGGCTCATCACAAAACGGTAAAGTGTAGCCACCACCCGAAAAAAAATATAATCGCAATCTAATCACAAAGCGCACACGCATACAGATGTGAAGTTTTCTGTGGTGTGATTTGGGGTGGGGTGAGGTGGGTGGGTGTGTGGAGTGCGGAGTGCGGTGTGGTGTTGTGGGGCGCATTTCCTAATCGATGGTTACTCATAATGCAAACAGACGTCCCAGCACTTGTCTGATTTCCAAACATTTACGCCCGATAACGGAGCAAAGCAGAGCCTGCCTTCCTGCAGCTAGCCGTCAGTCAATTAGTCACCAGGCAGGCAGTAGGCGCTTGTCTCCTGCCCAGAAACACACGCCCCTCCATTCTTTGGGCAATGACGGTGAGGTGATATCAGCGATAAAGCTGGCAACACTCGTACCAGAATTGCAATAATGTCACTCTAAAAACCCCTTGAGAGGAGGTTGTTTCCATCTGAAGTGGGTGGCGATATCAATGTATTTGATTTATCAATGAATGGGTGCAAAGTAGACACCGATAAGGCGGCAATGGTAACGACAACGACAACGACAACGATTTCACAAATTTCGAGTATCCCCATTGCCATTCCTAGGCCGCGGCCGAGTCAAGTGAAATCAAATCGAGTTACCTCGTATCAGGGGCGACAATGATATGGCAAATATAAAGCAACAGAATGGGAAAATCCATCATAAATAAATAATATGTACCGATAAGCAATACCCCAGGTAGTAGAGCACCCGAAATGTACGTCATATTCCCCGAAACGGATAATTGGCTAAGAGAGTCAGGTCTCATGGGCAGGGGGCCTTCCCACAGAGGGGGATCTCACATGGAGTAGCCAAAAATAGCCACTCCGATCTAAGAGTGAGCCACAGAGAAATAGAGATAGATAGAGAGAGATGGTCATTAAGCGTACAATGGCAGACAATTGGTCACCGTCCGCCGTTCCCGTCATCGGCCGAGTCGCACGGCGCTCATAAATCCTCATAGTTAATGACCCCGTCGCGCAGACAGTTAAAATCGCGCATAAAGCGCGCCGCCCGGCCGCACACACATATGCATGACTCACATGTGGCTAGAAAAAGGCTAAGAAGTAGATGAGAGGGGGAGATGGATGGGTGTTTAAAGGAGAGAGAAGTCCGCCTAGAAGTTTTGCAACAAGAAGAGAGCGGTAGGATAATACAACTGTAATCTTTCATGTCTCTCTTGAGTTGCTTTCTAGTTGAAGAAGGAGGCGAAAGGAGAAGCAACGTAAACAGTAGCTTTAAGGAGCTTTTAGAAGCTTTTTCCATTCTTTAGGTCACTTCGGAGTTATTCGGGAATGGGCAGACAAAAAAGTTTGATTTTTGATTTAATTTGTTTTAATTATGGCTCTAACTGATTGATCTCTTGCCATCCAAAAAAGCTGTTCCCAAGCTTAGTTTCCCACTCAATAGAAACCAGCTCTCTCTTCTAGTTAATTGATTGATCTCTCATCCGAGAGTGTTCTTCCCAAGTTTCGTTTGTGTAGTATGTTTATTGTTGATTTCGACAGCTTTAACGGAATCGAATCCCTGGTTACTCATTTGGGAATTAAGGAAAATTATGGACGGTTTGTTCGTTTGTTTGTTTTTGCTTTTGCATATTTGTAGGGTTTTTGGTTTGTTTACTGCCTAAGCGGAACTCGAAAGCTGTGCAAAAGCAATCCATGGGATTATCGGGAAACCGGGCTTAGGTAATGGTTGACTGACTGTCTGTCATATGTTTATGCGTCTGACTGTGCTCAGTACTGGATGGGGATTACTAATCAATGGCTAGCAAGCAAGCGGGCGACACTTATGAGTAAGCCCACTGTACACCGGGCGCCGCATAGTCCGGCGATGAGTGATCCCCAGTCGTGTCTCCATATTGTACCTCTCTCTGGCATGCCTATAATGGGGCAATGGACATTCATAGGGCTACTGTTGTGCCGCTGCTGTCTGACGATGCGTCGTCGTGACTCCATTTCGGGGCACGCTGATGCTGATTGCCGCCGTTCCGATGCG